TTCTAACTTTTCTATAGAAATTTTTTAAGTGCAAAAAAGGCAGATTCTCAGAAATGCACATTCGTGAGGCTCTTTTCTCCATTAAAATCTTTCCGAACTGTTTTCCATATATAACAAATTAATAAATGCGTTTACCTTGGATTTCTAATCTTCAAAACTTCGACGAAATCAAAATTCAGCTGCTTCGTTTAACCACCTACTTACAGCTTAGTTACAGCCAGTTAACTGGCTTTCTCTTTCAAAAAAAATATAGCGAGCCTATGGCCACTCACTACCACAGAAAAGAAATGGTCTATAAACTGCCAGTTTACAACCTGTTAATTGTCTAAAAGCCGTCTAGAAACTGTCTGATTTATTGGTCGTTTTTAGATCTTAAGAAACTACTGTGTAAAAACGGCCAGTAAACGGTAAGACCAAAAAACAGCCAGTTAACTGTCTGTAAATGTGCTGTTAACCACAAAGTTAACTAGCAGTTTTCTGGCTTTTCTGTTTACTGCCAGTTCTTACACAATATTTTTGCAGCCCTAAAAACGGTCAATAAACTAGACAGTTTTTAGGTGGTTTTTAGACAGTTAACACGTTGTCAACTGGCAGTTTTTAGGCGGACTGTAAACTGGCAGTTAATTACCAGTTTATTGCCCGTCTGTTTTCTCCTGGGTGGTTTTAAAGAAACACAAATATCGCAAGTTTCAGGATTCTCAATGGCTCCTTTAAGTTGTTTGGTGAAATTTAGTTTTAAGGAAATACAAATATCCCAATTTTCAGGATTATCAATGACTTGTTTAGGTTCTTTTGTGAAGTTTGGTTTTAAAGAAAACAAATATCACAACTTTCAATGCCTCCATTAACTTCTTTGGCGAAATTTAGTTTTAAGGAAGAACAAATATCGCAATTTTCAGGATCTTCAATGACTTCTTTAACTCCTTTGGTGATGTTTAGTTGTAAAGCAAATTGAATATCGCAGGTTGCGGGATTATCGATGGCTCCGTTAACGTCTTTGGTGAAATTTAGTTGTGAAGCAAGTTTTCAGGAGTCTGAATGACTCCTTTAACTTTTTTGGTGAATTTCACTTTTAAAAAAAAACAAATATCACAACTGTCAGGATTCTCAATGACTGCTTTAACTTCTTTGGCGAAATTTAGTTGTAAAGCAAATCAAATATTGCAAGTTTCAGGATCCTGAGTGACTCGTTTCATTTCATTGGTGAAGTTTAGTTTTAAAGAAACACAAATATCGCAGGTTTCAAGATTGTCCATGGCTCCTTCAAGTTCTTGGATGAAATTTAGTTTTAAGGAAACACAAATATCCCAATTTTTAGGATTCTCAATGACTTCTTTAACTTCTTTGGTGATATTTAGTTGTAAAGCAAATTGAATATCGCAAGTGACGGGATTATCGATGGCTCCGTTAACATCTTTGTTGAAATTTAGGTGTAAAGGAAATCAAATAGCGGAAGTTTCAGGATTCTGAATGACTCCTTTAACTTCTTTGGTGAAACTTAGTTTTAAGGGCAAACAAATATAGCAAGTTTCAGGATTCTCAGTGACTCCTTTAAGTTCTTTGGTGAAGTTTAGTTTTAAAGAAAAACTAATATCACAACTGTCAGGATTCTTAATGCCTGCTTTAACTTGTTGGGCGAAATTTAGTTGTGAGGAAAGACAAATATCGGAAGTTTGGTTTGGATGCCGCGTTTGTATCAGAATGATAGTATGTTGTTAAAACGAAGAAGGGTAGACTGTTTTGAAACTGTGTTTCGTCCGGTGTCCTGAGAGCATTATTTTGGAGAATAGCTGCCAGAGACTTGTGTTTTGGTTTTGAGAGACAAAAGACGTAAAATGGTTGATCATGACTTACAAAGTCGTCGAATGCAGCGTAGTAGTGATGATATAATGGTAAACAATGATGAGGCTCAGTCATCGTTGGCTTTTCTACCACATGTCACGAACAATGTTCCATACGGAGTTTGTTTATTAGAATCTACATTATTTTTAGTACTGATAGATGAACAAAATTCTGATACTGATTCGGAATATGAATTATCAAAAGCTGAAAATGATTCATCAATGAGAGATGAAATCAACAGTGGTACTGGAGAAAATCTAGAAATAGATGACGAAAATATTATCGATAATAATATCGCTATAACGGTCCCATTTCCAACAAATGTATCAGGTGATAATGATAATAGGCCATCTATCCCCCAACAACGTTTACATACTTATACAAATATTTTAACACTTGATTATTGTGAAGATTTACTAGGCGTTTTACGTAATGCACATGTATCTAAATCCCAATCAGATCACATTATAAAATTAATTAAATCTGCATTACCTATACCAAATAATCTTCCAAATACCTTAAAAGGTATTTTGTCTGAAACTAATATTAATGATATTTTTACCAAACGAAGTGTATGCACAGTATGTCAAACGGATTTACTTTATACAGAAACCACATGTCCAAAATGTATATTGTCTGATGTTAGATCTATTGCACATGTTTATGACACACAGTTAAATGTAACATTTTTAGCAATGCTTACACGTTTAGCATCTGATATTACAACATATAAACAGCATATAATAAACAATCAGAATAATGATGACAAAAAATGATATACCATTTAATCGACTATATCAGTCATTACTACAAGCGAATAAACAACGCAACTTTATAAGTTTTTTATGTCATCTTGATGGTGTATCACTATGCAAGTCTACAAAACTGAAGATGTGATTATTCAGTTCGTCGTTAATAGAATTACCACCACAACTGAGATGTCGCCGCTACAATATGCTGTTATTATTCGTATGGATTGGCTATGTGGAGCCACGACTTAAAACGTGGCTTAGACGTGCTATAAGCACAGTGAGAAATATGAAAACAACAGGTTTGTTTCTTATGTTTTTGAGAAGCAAATTTCTTTACGAGAAGAATGATCATGAGCAAAAAATGACTATACTGTGAAAAAAAAATTTTTTTCTTAAGGAGAATAATAACTTTTTGCGAGAAGCTTCTTTCGAAAAATATTTTAGAGAAAAATCTTCTTCCTTCTCAGCACATATATACAGAAGCGCTGCTATTTCATGCGTGTTACAATCATGATATATTAGCGGTTTTATAAATTGTTGAGATATAAAAATTCCAGAGTTGAATCTGTATTAACATATGGCGACTTTGAAAACTGGTGCTTTGTGCCTAAATGTGCGTACGTTCTGAAATTTTCGTGATGAGGACTTTTTACAAAATTTTTGTGTTTTTTTGTTTTTTCAGTGGGTTTTTGGTTTGTTGTATGGGTATTCAAGTTGGTCCAAATTTATCATATGATATTAAATTTTATGGAATAATAGGCGATTGTCCAGCATTGAAACTTATCTTAAATTTTATCTTTATTTTATTTTATTTTATTTTTTTAGTCATACCGGATATATCCGGTATGACCAATAAAATTATAATAATAAAAATTATTAAAATAAATGTTTTCTTTGTTATATACGCGGCACACATATTATGAATAAAAGACAATACTTTTATCAACAACCATTGATGCTTCGTGGAACAACGTCATACTTAGAAGAATCAAGAAAAGCTGAAAGAAATAGAACGAATGAATTTGGACATCTTGGTATAAGTATACTTGAAGAAATATTAGATGTTCCATTACCACAAGCAATCATTATAGATTATTTACATATAACATTGCTTCGTCATACAAAAGCAATTATTACCGAATTGTATGCTTTACTGAAACCAGCAGAACGTCAACGGTTAGATATTAGTTTGAAACAACAACGTTTTCCTCATTTTTTTAATCGAAAAATGAGAACAATTAAAGATTTGTCATATGTCAAAGCCACTGAATTACGAAATATGTTATTGTATGGTTTATTACCAAATTTCTATTTATTTTTATCATTAGAAACAATAGCACGTTTGGCATTATGTACTGGTTTACAAAATTTGGTTCTCCATCTTCGTTCACATTACTCGCCGCAATATGATGATCATGGAGCGTTTTGCAACAGAGGAACATCTGGCCAAGAAGATCTTATTGGACATATCAGTTCCAATCGTCAGGGAACTCGTTATTATGGAGAATTAATAACCTATTATTACGGTATTGATTTTTCATTACATAATAAAACCGAACGAAAAATAGCACCAAATGGACTAACAGATGAGCAAATCAAAATGCTGATACGTATGGCGATCTTGATCGTTATCATCAACAAATATGTGGTTGTAATACAATAAACAAATGTGTTGCTGTTTATCGTCGATGCATTATACGTGATCATATGTATAATTCGTTGTTGTATAATAAACGTCAAACATCAGTTAGTTATTTTGTTCAATATTGTGTTAACAATGACAATAAACAACATCGTTTTGGGATAATTAAATTATTTTTTCCTCGCTTAAATAAAACATATGCTATTATGGAATATTATCCTACAAAACATCTTTATAGTGCTTTTTTTGAATCTTCGAAATAGTATGGTTTATTACGTGATCCATTAGATAGTTTATTTTTTGTACTTAACCAGAAACCTTCTGATATTATAGATTGTATTTGTACAGATTTTATATTTAATCATTGTATTGTTTTTGAAATGAAAAATCACGTTGTAATAACAACAATTTCATCCGATGATGAACATGATTAGATTTTAGATTAAAAGTTATCTATGTGAAATCCTTTGCTTTATTTACTATACTGTCACAAAATTATATTTCTTGCATTCGTTTATTTTGTTCTCCAAACTTTTAAATGGGACTTTATGAGCCATAACGTTCAATAAAATAATTTTGCCTAGACTGGCAGATTATTACAGCACATTAGTTGCGCTTTTCGCTTCCGGAAATTTATTGTTGAACTCGTTCAGATTATGATCTAATCACCGTTAAAAAGAAAGTGCTTCCATTCGTGATTCTTAGACGTTTTTTGTGGTTATTTTACCTGGCGTTAAATATGGTGTGGTGGATTATTTAATTCTTTAAAGAGAAAGTTGTCTATGAAGTTACTTGACAAAAAAGAAATCTGCTGCCTGAAAGTTAACGAAAAAGATATTTCTGGTGCTTCTATTACAATTTCTTTTCATGGTGAGAATAAGCAAAAAGAGTCACGGGCTCTTAATTTTAGTTATTTGACTGAAGAGAATAGCAAAAAAACATGTTTACTCTTCTCAGGTTTTGTTTTACATGCGCTTTGTCTGATTGAAATTTATTTCAGACTAACTATAGTAATTTGGTAAAGTCGTTATTGTTAAATATGACTACACAACGTACTTCTCGTATTAGACAGACGAGAAAGCCTTTTACTCCGACAACGCCAGAACAATTTGTCATTGTGCGTTACCAGAATATTATTTGTTGTATTCTGAAGATTCTGATACATATAATATTGTGAAAAGATCAAGTATCAGAACAATATTAGAAGAAACAGCAACTATTTTTCTTAAAAACAAGCACATAACAGCTAAAATAATTGAATCTGGTAACATATATACTTTTTTTTAAACAAATACATCTACACTTATTTTTTGGTCTATTTTAGGTACATATGAAGAATGCAAACAAGCTTGGGATTGTCTATTACCTCAACCAGAAGAATTAGAAGGTTTCATTTTATCTCTACTAGTTGAATCCAATGTTCTTTATTTAATTTTGGTTATCGTTTTTTAGACAATGAAAATAATTATTTACAAGATAATAGTGTTAATCATCGAATGCCGTTAAATTCTCTTGGAACAAATATTCATGGAAATGTTCATAATCCACGTAAGGAACTTACGTTTTATTGATCTATATGATCAAACATGCAAACTATCCGTCTACACAAGCAGCTGATTGATGAAATTATTTTTCGGAAAGGACTTTTTTCAGAAGCTTTTTCCTGCTCATGTCATCTACTATAACGTTTAATACTTGCCTTTGATGTCGGTTCCTTTCCAGTACTCTAAACACTGGTCACGTTTCAACCATCCATAAAATGCCTTAAGTTCTGTCATCTAGTGTAAAACATTGCTAAAAATTACAACTTCATATTCAACTTTTTGTTAGAGAATTATCGGTTTTAAGGGGAGGTGTGTACTGCCCCCAACCATGCCCTCAGACTTGGCCAGTTTGTAGAGAAAAAAACACCTTCCGTGGTATGCATATGCAATAAAAAATTCGTTGGTCAAGTATTGACAGAGTTATTAATTAGTTAAGTTCAAAATTAATTCAAATTTTTAGTTTGAGGGGCATCTTTTAAAACTTTTCTAGTTTTCGATATAAATTTTACATTCAATTGATTGCAATGTAGTTTTATAGAGAATTGTTTGTAGATATAATTTCATACAAAAAAGTTTAAAAACGATATTCTCTAATTAGTTCTGGTTAGTACTAATTAGTGGCGCTCCAGTGGACAAAGCAAATTTTCCGAATGTCAAAATTAATGGAAGCAAATCATGCGATATATTATTCGATAGAACTTTTCGAGCTCTATCGATTGTCCGAGTCACTTCTTTTAATATTGTCTTTTTTGTCTGACTTTAAATAACGACTTTACCAAATTACTATAGTTAGTCCGAAATAAATTTCAATCAGACAAAGCGCATGCAGATAAAACATCACTCTCTACACCCTGTGCACGGATGAACAATTTTTCGTTTTCTGTGTGGCACGTGTTAAGAGTGGCTTTTTATCTCCTAAGAATAAGAAAGCAATGATTAGTAATACATACATTACCTTCTGTAACGGATTCGTCTGTCCACAGAGTAGTGAAAACAACCATACATCAATATTCTAGATGCACATTATTAGTGTTTTGGATAAAAATGTAGAAATAAGATGTATATACTACTGTCTCTTTATTATTGTTATTAATCACTGTGTATCCAGGTGCTTTATAAAAAAACTGTTTTGAGAGATGATCATCATTATAAATCTGGAGAAATTGCAATTATTTTTTCGTTGCAAAATTTATCAGTATAATAACTCAGTGAACAAGAGTTACCCAGCTCACGAATTTTCTGGTGCAGTTTTGCACGTTGAACCCAATGGTGAAAACGGAAGCTCCGTAGCTAATATTGAAAACATTCAGAGTAAAACACGTTTCCAGCAGAAAGCAGCATTTTTTGCTCTTGTCAAACGATCTATTGCAGAGCATGGTACTTCCAGATCAAGCTGCTGGGACTGTCCGCTTCGTTTTCTGTACAACAAGATTTGCAACAGAGATCACTTGATCTTGCTAAATATGACGCGTTACTTGCGTTTCACACTTATACAGCGTTTTCACCGTTTTTCAACGAAAGAGAGGCTATGCATATTGCACTATGTCTACAGTGTATTGCGCTATGTATATTGCACAGAATCTTTCATGCTAACAGTCAAACGGAAGAAAGTCTACAATAATTGTGATGATAAATTGAAGGAATATTTTAAAAGATATGAAAATGGTACTTTGTCTGGAACTGAGCTTGCAATTAAATGCGGCAAATGTCTTAAGCTGCCGCTACCCGAGGTTGCCCCACCGTTCCGTTGGACTTGTGCGAATGTCAACACAGCCCTACTTGCCACCGAACGCAGGACTTGCCCTTGTCGCCGAATCTGCTTGATCGTCGAGGCCAGGTGCTCGTTTGGCTTTCGAGTTGCCTCCCTCGAAGTTACTTTGATTTGCCTAAATGTCGACGGTGTAGTTGGTCGAGGCAAAGTCATTCATTTGAATCCGCTTGGTTGCCACCACCAAAGGCCAATCGTCAAATTGCTCGAAGGGGAGATACCATCCATTGAGTAAACATGCGACGCAGCACGCCATTGTGCCGTTTCTTTCTTCATTGTCTTGTAATTTGCCTGGTCGACGATCGACGATGATCAGAAGACGAGGACAAACTTCTAAAATAAATCTTTCATCACCCGAACCGCACCGCATCGTGATAGAAAAGACGACCGGCCGGCTAGTGCACCAGTTGTGAGGTTCTACTCACTCGCTTCTTCTCTTTATCTGCATAAAGTGAACGGCTATATATAGTACACAAGTTGAACAACAGTTATGCAAGAGTTGCGCAGGAGTTGCGCAAGAACAGAAGAAAAGGAAAAGAAGAAGAGAACATAGTCTTATGAGCTGCCAGGAATGGCAGATCATAACATCTTAATACTGTAAAATTACCTGTTTTATTGTAACTCATAAATAAAATAATAAATGTAACTTATAAAGCCATGTATCAATTATCAAATTATATTAATATTAATTAGTATACAGTTGGTAGAAAAAAATGAATAGTTATAAAATAAGTAAAATGATAGAAAATGTAAACAGGACGAAACGAGTGTGGGACAAAATGAGATGGGACGAAACGAGAGTAATCCATTCTATATCACATCTGTTTTTTTTCTATGTTTAAGTTTTTCTAGTATTTTCGTTTCCCCCTGTTTCAACCAGTATATATATTCATCTCTCTTCTAAATTTACAGTCATATTAGCCTGATGATGACACTGTGAAGTATCGAAAGCTCGCTTTTATGTAAAATGATTTTACAAAAAGGTTTTTCAACTGTATCAAATATACTTAGTTTTATAAGAGACGTAAAAAGTCAAAAATGTCAATATAGTAAGTCCTTCAGTACGATAAGTACGAACATTTTTTTTTATCGAACAAAACATTTTAGATCGTTTTCAGTAGTACATGTAGAACATTCATTCCATAATCTTCGAGACATAGCTTGTAGAAAAAAATATGAACTAATTCCGGATATCTTCCCATTTTTTATTCCCAATTTATATATATATATACGATGTGTATGCGCTTCTAAGATTGATTTTAAAAGAATGCTCTTAAACTGATTATATTTTTACACTTTTAACAAATTTAAATTGCCGTGCTCATTTCTCACTTTTATGAAGATAATTTTTTTAATTTTTTGAACCGGGCTTATTTTCATCTTTTTTTGCTAATTAAAGCAATCGGGATCAATTCTCTCTTTTTTCCGGGTTCAAAACTTATTTTATCGTATAATTGATATATATCGAGTTTGATTTTCTTTTCTAATTGTTTCTACTTCTTCAAAAACAATTAGCCTCCATGTTTCCAAAGATTATTCATTTAACAAGCTATCAATAACATATTTAAAGCAAAAAGAGAACGTCTATTTTATAGTTTATTCAACTGTCATACCATATTATTTGGGCCTTTTGAAATACAATATTTTTCTCAATATAATGAAGAAACTACAGCATCAGGTGTTTTTACTTTATAAACATAAAGACTTAGACAAAGCGAACATAAAGGTCTAAAAATTGGGGTAAAATAGAAGAATTTCATCTTAAAAATCTAGTAGGCAATCAACAATATTTTTATTTACAGTATCTGTAAATTTTAATTTATCTTCTTTTATAACTAAAGTTCTGACAGGAGCGCGTAAAATTCCTCTTAGCACCTTAAGGAGAATTTACGTTTCCAAGAGAATTTCAGCCATTCGCAGAGGAGTTTGGGCTTCCACGAGAATTGTACTCTATCAGAGAAGAAATTTAGTTATAGAAGAAGAAAGAACGTCAATCTCCGCGACACGAGATGTTCAGTTATAAAAGAAGATATAACATCCATCTCCACGAGAATGTTAGACATTCCTAGAGGAATTTTACGCACTCCCGCCAGAACTTTAGTTATAAAAGAAGCCATATATTCACAGCCATATTTCTCAAAGACTAAATGGGATCCTTTTCTAAAAAATAGATCGTGCACAGCTCGTGTACTTTAAACTAACGAGTGATGCAAAACTTTTTTCCTTTTTTGTTTCCACTATTGCTTTCTCCCAAAACATCCGGAAGGGTTAATTGTTTCTCCGTTGGAAAGACCGAAATCTGAACTTCAAAACAACATATGAA